ATGGTGCAGAACCAGGCAGTGTTTCATTCTGTTGTACACAGGGTCACTATAAGTCGGAACCAACTCAACGGCACCTAACAACAACAGCTGGTCCCCCTCTTTCTTTTTCCTTAATATATCCTGGAGGACTGTGGTATAAAGGAAACAACATTGGACTTGGGAGTTAAAGGATGAATCTAAGATTCAGACCTGCTACTTTCTAACTGGGGGATCTTGAGACCCTGGACGTTGGTAAAAAAGAAGATGTTGGATAAGAAGTTTCCAGAAATCCTTTTCACCTCTAAAGTTCTATGATTTCCACTGGAGACAGACTAATTTTTCCCACCACTCCCTTGGTCAAGAACCTGCAATATCTCTCTAGAGTCTACACCAGCTCCCCATAATCTGTCCTCACCATGGCCACCTAATCATCCACGGCACATGTAACAGGCACCCCCAGTACCTCACATACCTGGTACTTGTCATTCTCTGGTCAGATGTCATACTTTTGTTCCCAACATACTGCTCACCTAGACTGTGCAGCTCCTTCCCTTAGTGCATTCCAATCGTACCTCACCCTCCTGGCCTGCTGAAATTCACCTTCACAAAGCCTTCTCAGACCAACTCAGCCCATCTTTATTTCCTCAGACTCTAAGGGTGAAAATTCCTTCTTTTACAGCGTCATGTGGGTCATTCCAAAACCAAACCCGTTGCTGTCAAGTTGATTCGGACTCATAGTGACTCTAGGACAGAGCAGAACTGCTCCACAGGGTTTCCAAGGCTGTAAAGGTTAAGCACTGAGTTGCTAACTGAAAAGTCGGTGGTTCAAACCCACCCAGTTGGCTCTGCTGGAGAAAGATGTGGCAGTCTGCTGCAGTAAAGATTTACAGCCTTGTAAACTCTATGGGGCAGTTCTACTCTGTCCTATAGGGTTGCTATGAGTCAGATTTGACTTGACAGCAATGGGTTTGTTTTTTTTTCAATCTTTATGGAAGCTGACTGCCACATCTTTCTCCTGTGGAGAGGCTAGTGTGTTCGAACCGCCGACCTTTCGTTTAGCAGCCAAGTGCTTAACCACTGCACCACCACCATTCCTTCGTAAATCATTAGGTTCTGTAAACAGAAGGTAAGTTCTCTGAGGGAAAAGAACCACATCTTATACTTATATTGGGTCTTCTACATCATTCACTATACAAAATTAGGGGCTTAATAAATACTTGCTTGAAAAATTACATAATGGTTTAAAACAAGAACCACGATGTTAAAAAAATGAGTTCTTACACACTGCCCAAGATGTTTACCATATATAGCTCATAGCTCATGCATTATTTGATGACTTCAAAGGATGCATTTGCAGCTCCCATCTAGGTACAAAGGTATAATAATATCTTCTAATAGTATATACTATCAACAATCTAAGGGATAGTCTCCCCTCTTCTATAGTACATAATTTCTAGCTAGCTTCAAATTCCACAGAGTTATTTGAATTTCAAATGTACATTACAACCATAAGGAAACTTTTGCAGAATGCAAAATGTCTTTGAAGTTCTTGAGCTTTATTATATGTGCTTAAATGAAATTCAGTATTTAAAAAAAATGAAGCAGAAAAGTTGAAAACCCATTTTATAGTTGATATATAATATCCATGTCCTTTAATCAGTTAAGAATTTTCTTTTCCTAATAAAGGCACTTGGCCATAATTTTGATCACTATTCCTCATGGGGAACAAACGTAGCACAATACTATGCGCTATTTCCATGCTTTCTATTTACAATCTAATGCATTTGCCAGTAATAAGAAAAATAAAGATTCATAAGAAGTTTGGCACAGAACGGATAATTATGAAAATCTTACATAATTTTATGAGTAAATTGTGACTAGGAATAATTTACTTCAAAATTCCTTGAATCATTCACTGAGCAGTTTAAATGGCAGCAGGCTGAGTGTTTAAACCTTGGTGGTGGAGCGAGTCACTGACTGTAGCTGGACTTGAAGAACATAAGGAAAAGCTCACTTGCTACAGACTGGCTCCCTAGAATAGGGTTGACAGTATTTTGCTGTCATCCCTTTAAATTTAACATTGTCCTCTCACATGTTCTTTCCCTAAAGCAGACACTCCTGGAAAGGTTGAAACTATTAAATCATTATTATAAACTAATTGAAAGGAACCTGGGTACAGTAGATTGCAAAAATGGACACAATTTCTCACTTCCTGTATCCACACTCTTGGCCAGGTAACTCTGTACCTCCTCCCGTCAAGAGATAGGGTCTATTTTCCTACTCCTTGAATTTGGGTTTGGCCAATAGAATATGAAGGAAGTGAAGGTGTGGTAGTTCCAAGACTAGGCCTCCAAAGACATTGCATGCTTCTGCTTATTTTCTTGGAAATTTCTTGAGAAGAAGCCGAGGCTGGCCTGCTGGATGATGACAGACTAGTGATGCAGTCAACCTTGTTGCCTCAGTGGGTAGGGCCTAGCCAATCACCCACCAATGGCCCATATGAGAGTAAGGCTGTCCTAGACCAGCCAGCCTCAGCTGACATGCCAGTTGACTATAGTAGCATGACTGAGTCCAGTTGAAATCAGCTAAGCCTGACCCATATCTATGAACCACCCAGCTGACCCATTGATTCATGAGAAATATACATGGTTGTGGTTTTAAGCCACTAAGCTTTGGGGTGATTTGTTACATGGCAATAAATAATAGATGAGGTCTGAGTAAGAAAATGGGAAAATGCTCACCCCAACAAGGCTAGCGTTAATCTAAAAAACACAAAATAATAAATGCTGGAGAGGTTGTGGAGAGACTGGAACACTTCTGCACTGTTGGTGGGAATGTAAAATTGTACAACCACTTTGGAAATCGATTTGGCTCTTCCTTAAAAAGCTAGAAATAGAAGTACCATATAATCCAGCTATCCCACTCCTTGGAGTATATCCTAGAGAAACAAGATATATGCACACCCATGTTCATTGCAGCACTGTTCACAATAGCAAAAAGATGGAAGCAACCTAGGTGCCCATCGATGGACGAATGGATAAA